CTTGGATTCGCATACATTCAGCTTTGCCAATAAGCTAAATTCCTTTTTAGAGAAAACAAGCTTGCTTATCATGTGGCGGATGCACGCATAGCAGCTTGCAGCAATCAAAAAAGAAAAGGGAGCTACTGTTTTATATACTTTGCGGAGTAGATTATTTTGATGAACAAGTGTGGATCTTGCGCAAGAAAATGTAATAAAAAGCTGTATGTAATAAAAAGCTGTATTTGCTAATAACCAGCAGCCGCCGTGGCTGAGAATCTGCACTTGCATTGTTTTCGGCAATCCTTCCCTCCCTCTGATGCTGCATGTGCGTTGCTGAACCACAAAATAAGATGCATATTTATGATTGGCATTTTACAGGATGCAAAGCATTATTTGGTTGTTTTCTTCGTTGGAATTGGAGCTGTGGTATGCAACTCCCGTAATTTCATCTGGTGAAATACAGGTGCAGCGGCTTGCCCTGCGTCGGTTATATTGGTAAAACTACCAGGTCCGATCCATGGAATCGATGGTGCAGATACTTTTATTCGAGCTAGCTGGATGATTTCATCTAGCTCTGTTATCCCAGACCTTATACCAATAGCCGACACTCGCTGCTGGCACACTGCTTTAGCCAGTCGCTGCTCTGATCCCTTTACCACGCCAACTAGCCGCAATCCGCCCGGCCGACTTGCATCTTTGTTGCTGCTGTCAGTGTTTTCAGTTGTAGCAGCAGAATTTGCTATATCAGCGGCTCGCGCTGCGTGTGCTAGTGCTGGGAAGTGCGCTACCACTTGGGGCTCGATATCAGCCTTACAAACAATAACCAGCGCCAAATCGTTATTAGATCTGCTATCCTTTGGATCTCTAGCAGCTGTATTGTTTTGTGCTTGCTTTTCCAGCGCACGCGTAGTGCTGTTGATGCCCAAGACTAAATGCCTTAACATGTTTTGCCCCTCCTGCGCTACACTATTATCAGTCAATTTTGCAGCAATGGTAGGTATGCTATCCTTGACTTCTTCTTTTGCAATTTTGTCGTCGCTGGCTGATTTCTTTTTATTCTTTTTGAGATTGCGTTGTCTACGGCGTTTAATGCGGTTAATCTGTTTTGATGCCTGTCGCGAAGCAGCAAAGTACGCGCCTACTGGCTGCAATGCTTTGCAGAGAGCGTCGATGATTGCCTCTTGCGTTGTCTGTGTGGCTGATGGCCATGATATCGTGTATGGTTTTTCGAGCGCATGCTTAAATACTTGCCGACGCTTTGTGCTGGCTACACGAGCTGTTATTGTTTTGTCTGAAACTACTGACATGGAGATCCTATATAACGGTGTTGCTTAGAGATCTGTTTCAGCTGGTAAAAAGAAAAAGAAAAGCAATGCCAAAGCAAGATAATCAATATCAACCGATCTGGCTGTAAATTTTTTTAGCCGACGATGATCCCATTTTTGCACATAGCTAAGCACAGTTTTTGGGGTTTAGTCACATGGCAGCACTGGGGATAATGTTTTTCCAGCCGTCAAACAATATAGTGCCTTTTGCTTGCTTTGTTGTTGGCAATTAAACGGGTCTTGTGGTCTTCCCAAGATCGGCCACATCCTTCTTCCTTTTTTATTTGTCGGCTAACAAGAGTCAAAAAAGTGGGTTTTTGGTGGCGGCCATTGCGACAAAACTAAAGGCACGTGGGTTAAAAATGCAAGAATATTATTATCTTCTTGCGTAAGTGGGTTGCAAGCCCAATTTTCTCATCATCTTTGAGAGATAAAAGAAAAAGATCATCAGGAGCAGCGCTCTTTTTGTGCGAGATTGGAAAGGCCACGAGTTTGGGCCATTCAAACCATATTTGGTGGTAGAGAGTGGTGCACATCAACCAGCAGCGAATGACGTTACACGCGTGCTGAAACATAGATACAGTGAAAAGAGAGAACTGCTTTAAAAAGATTGGCAAAGCGGGGTGAGAATAAGTCTGTTTGACTATCTTTTTCTCGTTCTGTTCTGTTTCTACTTTGTCTCTTTTTCAATTATTTTATTTATCTTGCTATTTTTTATCCGCAAGCACAGGATCCAAGTGGACACAAACCAGGCAGTAACAATTGAGCGCATATGGGCGGATCCAGAGTCGACAACAGTGGCTCTAGAAGCATTGCGTCAAGTGAAAGCTCGCCACTCCTACATGCTACTGCTAGTAGTCCTGCAGTCAATACGCATGTAATCGCCTATAATTCCATCGATGATGCTTCTTCGCATGAACAGTCATTAGATGCAAGGTTCAACGGCATGCAAAGAGATGGTAGCGCAAGCAATGCAATTACATGTAAGTGCCATTGCTAGTATAAAATGAAACAAGTGATGAAAGTGAGCCAATTTTCCGATAACTGAGTGAAAGGAGACTTGGAATTGTAGGTCCTCTTTGTTTGTTGCTACGTGTGTATGCTTATGCCCACGTGGGGGAGAGAGGGGGCTTTTTCTCCAGACTTCGTGACTTTGCCAGAGAAACGCAAAAGAAAGGGGCGTTTTCTTTCTTTCTTTCTCTTTTGCTTTCGCTTTTACTTGAGATTATTCTGTGCTTGTAAAATAGAGTTTTGCCAACGATCACTCCCTTTGAGCATCCTTTTTGTTTTATTTATTTTTACATGAAACGCTAATCGTATCGATATTATAATATACATTTCCTGTTGCTTCTACGACGGTGGGGGATCATGGTTTTGTGTTCGAATGGCCATGTAGGGAACTGGAAAAGCTGGATGCAGGTCTTTAAGGAGTCACAATTTGTCAGCGCTCTGCCGGCAGTAGTCCTGGCCTTCACAATAGCACACCTTCCAGCACCAGCTGGATTGACGCCAACAAGCATGCGGTTGCTTGGAGTATTTGCAGGCGTGATCATGGGGCTATTAACTGCTGACTACAATATGTCTGTCATCCTGGCCACTGCGTTGCTGACGCTGACACTGACCAAAAGCTTCATGTGCATAACCTCTGACGGGCATTCTATAGAGTGCGAGAGATGTAAAACCACATATCAAGGCAAATCTGGGCATTGGCGCGAGTACCAATGTGATCCCATTGGCGGGAGCTTTGATGTGGCAGTATCTGGATTTTCCAACAAAGTCGCATGGCTCGTGTTCACCGCTTTTCATATAGGAACAGCTGTCGAGAAAACGGGATTTGGCCGGCGAGTATCTCTGAACCTTGTGAATATAATGGGGCAGTCAACTATTGGAATCGGCTATGCCATATGCATTGCTGAACTAGCACTAGCACCATTTATTCCATCCAATACGGCACGCGGCGGTGGGATTGTCTATCCTATTGTTGAGTCTGTGATAGCGTCTCTTGGCGTCGATACACAGATGGGCGAACACCCTGTAGGCGGTTTCCTTTCAATTGTTGCTGCTACTGCCAACCTGCTGTCATCATCTCTGTTTGTTACAGGTATGGCAGGAAATCCGATCGTAGCAAATAAGGCATCTAGTATTTTTGGTATAGAATTTGGCTTTACCGAATGGGTTCTTGGAGCCAGCGTTCCTAGTCTACTCTCGATTGCCCTGATTCCGCCGCTTATGTATGTAATTCTGCGTCCAAAGGTCGACTTCGGACAGCTATCGGTAGACATTCAACGGCAGCGTAATATACTTGGCCCTGTTTCAACTGATGAGCTAAAGCTCTGTGCCACTTTGTTTGTTAGTCTAGTCCTGTGGGTTGGCACACCATATTTCGGCATTGACTCTACGGTTGTAGCATATACGGTTATAATTGTTCTTGTCCTGATCAATATTCTGACATGGGACGACATTATCAAAAATTATCACGCATGGGACACGTTCTTTTGGTTAGCTTCGTTTATTGTGCTTGCTGAGCAACTGTCGGCACTTGGTGTGACTGAATGGATTGGCAATTCATTATCAAGATCCCTGCATGATGCTTCACCGATGACAAGCACTCTGTCTCTGGCTTTGGTGTACTTTTTCTCCATGTATTTGTTCTCGTCGATTTCCAGCCATGTTGTTGCTTTTGTTGGACCATTCTTTGCTGCTGGTCATGTTCTGGGCTGCCCACCGAGGCTGTTGACAATCCTTATTGCCCTGTTCAGCTCCATGTCAGGTGTTCTCACGCCATTCTCTACCGGATCTGTTGCGATATATGCTGCCCAAAAGTATATTCCTCAACACCGCTGGTTTGTTTACGGTCTGGCAATCTCTGCCATGATGCTTCTTATAGTGTTTACAGTTGGGCTATTCTGGTGGAAGCTTCTCGGATGGTTCTAGATACATTTATTTTTAGTATTTTTATTTTTAAAATTGGCGAAGTATGCTGTGTGTGAAAATAATGAAAATTGAATAGCCAAGGAAGTTAAGGAAGGAACTAGCATAAAGCCATGCAGAGGGCGCCAGATATTGGGCGGCTGGTTCTGTGATGGCAGATGAAAGCCCGATGTTAATTATATCGACATCTTCTTTGTGGTTTGGAAAGATGTACTGTTTTTGTTGGCTCGGGTCGCTTACAGGAAGCATGTTATAGGAAGCCAGAAACATCCCATATCACATACTCTAGGACAGAGTGGTATATTTCGGCCCAAGAGGAGGATTATTTACACTCAAAATGGCGAATTTATTATCCACAATTACTTAGAAAGACAACTAATGGACCTAGAAGATTTCAACTGGGTAATTATGTGAAGACCTTGGAATAACGCTCAGGGGGACCAGGCCAGGAAGATCCCTCGTCAAAGCGGAACTGTGCATAGGGAGAATGCAGCTTTGGATGGCAGTGGAGGGGTTTTCCATGCCTAAATGCGCGAATACGGTGCGCTGTTGCCCAGAACCAATCCTGGGACTTGAGGATTGACTTAACGGCTTTACAGACAATCGCTGGAATAGAAAGGCACTTCCACACCTGGATATTCCGATCCAATACCCCAGCTTCTTGGCCCAAGAGGAGGCCGCCGCTTTTTGTTATAGAGATATCTTTACTTTAAAAGTATGAGTAAAAAAAGTTTTTTGATTGATAAAATGGCTCAAAATTAAAGTCACATGACCGAGTGGTTTAAGGTGGTGGACTTAAGATCCATTCTCATTAGAGATCGTGGGTTCGAACCCCACTGTGACTATATTTTTATATATGGTTGCTTTCTTTTTGGCAGAGTAAAAGCATTTTTAAAAGCAGTGATAAATGTGTATTTTGCATATCGCTATGTATGCTGTGTTTGTTTATTTGCAGTTGTTTTGTTCAAATTATTAGTTTCTTTTTCTGTCCACACTGTTTTTCTTAGTAGTGTCAATAAAACATAGAGAGTATTCCTACTTAATAGTTGAGGATTCTAGCATAATAGGCATTAATTACTACATATATTTACGACCAGTCCTTTCTATGATAGCGCACAACCACTAGACAAGATAATAAAAGCTAAACTGGAATGCGCGGAAGCGGACGTAAAGTGTGGTAGAGCCCAAGTGCAGAGGCGAGAAGCAGAACCGAGTTTGCCTGGTGCGCGGATGCATTGGCAATGGGTACAAAGTCGACAAGCGTGGAAATGCCTAGAGTTACCTGCAGCCAAGCCAGGGCATACATCAAGTGTAGCGTAGCGCGAGCAGCACGCGGCAGTGGAAGCTTGCGACCTTGCCACCATAGCGCTGATAGTGTAAAGAATGTAGTCATTGCAAATGCACGATGTTCCAGCTGAACTGTAGCTGGATTCTCCGTTAGGTTTCGCCACATTGCCGATGGGTCGCCGCGGGCAAAGAATTCGTTCCAAAGCTCTGACAGTGGCGGAGTAATACCATGGCCCATTGTTGGGAACTCGTTGTAGATTAAGCCGGCGTCAAGCCCAGCAACCATTGCGCCCGATAGACACGTTGCACCAACAAGGAAAGTGGCAGCAGTGATCTTGCGACGATAAGAAACAATGGTTGGTTTTAGCAACAGCGAGCGAAGTGCGTCCTGGTTTGTGATTTTGTTTTTTAGCATGCGGTTTGCGCGAAAGACATTCCATCCGTAGAGTGAAAGCCCAGCATACAGAATATACGCTAGCGATAGATGAGATGTAAGGCGGTACTGACTGACACGAGGGACAGCGTCAGGGCTCTCACCAAGTTCCTTTTCCAGGCCCGAAGATACCATGTACCAGCCCATAGCACCTTGGCCAAGAAGCAAAAGCCCAAGTCCAGTTAGTTTAGCTTTTCCTGCACGCGTAACCATCCCCTTTGACACAAAATATGCAGTGGGGATCAGATATACTAGGCCAAAAAGCCTGCCAATGTTGCGATGGAACCATTCCATAAAGTAGATGCGCTTAAAGTCGTCCAAAGTGATGCCGATATGCACTTTGTGGTACTCAGGGAACTGCTTGTACTTTTCAAACTCTGACTCCCACTGCTCGTCGCTTGTTGGCAGCTTTGCCCCAGTGATAGGAGCCCACTCGACAATCGACAGACCTGATTCGGTCAGCCGTGTCAACCCACCCCACACGATAATCCCGAACACCATAGATGCACAAAATAGTGACCAGTAGCCGACAATCGGAGCGTCCACGGCCCACTTTCCCAATGCTGGTGCAGCCGTAGTCGAAGCGTGCCTGCGGAAGGTAAAGGTTGGAAGGTGCTTTAAAACGCCGCGCTGTCCATAATCTGTGGTAGCAGCATCGGCTAGCTTGGATGCTATCAAAAAATTAGCGCGTCCGATCAGTGCTGGAAGGCGCTGGTATCGATACCGGAGCAGAGAAGCTCCTAGAATCCTGCCATTAACATCTTTGGCAGGAAGCAGGCGCATAAACGCGCCATTCAAAAGCTGCATAAAGTGGAAATTCTAAGTTTAAAATTTTCAAGATTGATTTAAAATAGAAAACAGAAAAGAAAAAGCAACTTTATCAAAGCCCTATCATTCGATTTGAGCAAGCTCAACGTCGAATATCAGCGTTGCATTGGAAGGGATGCCGCTTGCCTCGACGCCGCGCTGGCCGTATGCCCATTCGGGCTGGATGGTCAGTGTAGCCTTTTCGCCCTGGACCATTGTCATCAGTGCCTCGTCCCAGCCGCGAATCACCCTGCCAGTTCCCACCTTGAACACAAGCGGTGTTGCTGGCTTGCGGCCCTTGGGTTTCATGTTGGAATCAAACTCGGTGCCGTCCTCAAGCCTGCCCGTGTAGAAAACGCTGACACGATCGCCCTTCTGCGGGCAGCGCTGGCCAGCACCATTTTTGGTCACTTTCTTTGTGTACTTTGGCTCCTCTACTTTTGGGGCCTGTTTGCTGCTCTTCTCTTCACCGCTGGCCTCTGCCAACTTTTCCTGCTTGACTTCCGAGGCTGGTATCTCGTCGGCTGAGCGGAACTGTTTGGTCTCGAACAGATTCTTGTACGCAGAGATCAGCGCAGGCTTCTTTGCCGTCTTTACGACGCTGGCTAGCTTGCCGTTCAGCTTGTGCGCAAGCAAAAATGCATTGCTACCGTTTTCTTGCAAAAAAGCAACAAGGTCTTTCTTGCTGACTCCCTCGCTGGCAACCTCCTCGTCAGTCCACTTTAGTTCGATTTGGCTCATTTTAAAATATAATTAAAATAGGTTTTTTTTTAAAGTAGACAAGAAAGAGATTATATGTCTAATCGAAAACCAACGAGTTACAAATGGAATTTCTGCTGAGATCCAAAAGCGACTATTCAAAGCTGCCGTCGCGACAGCAGGTGACAACCGTGTACAGGGGGATTCTTAAACAAGCGCGCGCCTTCTTTGACGAAAACACACGGGATTTCATTCAAGCATACGCAAAACAGCAATTTCGGATCAATCTGCATGACCGCAAAGTCGATAGAGCTAGAAGAAAAGTGAAAAGCGCTCGCACAACACTGCACCTTTTAGAGAGAGCAAACACGCATCGTTATAAAGATGTTATGAGCGTTCTTGAATACGGATATGGAAGAAAGGGTCCTCGCAAAGTTGAAATGCTACAGGTAAGCTAATTTTCTCAAAGTATCCAAAGAATAGGCTGTTCTCATACCAATAGTTAGAGCTAACACTGCCACACTCGCAGAATACTATTGTAGGCTACAGCTGGAGTTAGCAGGCGTGAGCAGGTGTTTGGCAACCTACGTGAAGTGGCTAGATATCGGCCAGCGTTCTATGCGATCGCTAATAACCAGTTTGGAACTAAAAAGCTAATCGTTAGTGACGAATCACTGAAATCAAAGCACCCTTTGAATGTGGCTAAAATGCAAGATATCCATTGGAGACATGTGCGATACCGTATTATGCCACCGATTGACAGAGCTACCATGAATCTTCTTGAAAAGCGTGCTCAAACAGGAGTCATCACTAGCGCTCTGATAGCTAGCGGGGAATTAACTGATGACGAGGCCCACATGGTACGCAAATGGGAGCAGAGATGGGTCAAAATACCGATGCGGAACCAGGTTGTTCGATTCTATCGCACTCTTCTGGATATGAATATGGTTGTAATGGGTGCACAGGTAAAAATGGTGCCAAACAAGGGTAAATATCACAAATCTTTGCCACGACGAAACATATTGGATGGCACAGGCGCTGTAAAGCCAGATCTTATTCCTAAAAAGGTATATACCTTTGAAAGATCGCAGTTTGCCGGGAGAAAGCCGCCGCGCACCGCAAACAGCATCGATTTAGTTGGCATTTAAGCAAAATAAATATTGTGACATTTTTAACATCACTACAACTATAAAAATGAGAAAAACAAAAACAAAAAATTCTGAGCTAAGGCTGTGTTTATTCGCGCATTTCGTAAACTGCTAGCTTGCGCAAGGCTTGCGGCCCATACTCCTCCCATTCCTGCTTTGTGACCCAAGATGCCTCGTTGTTCTTCATAACGTCTGCCAACACGGCACCGCCCAAGAACACCATGTGTCTGCGGTTTGGTGGATCGTCGATCTGCAGCTTGAACTTGTCTAGCCTCGACGCATCGCCATTAAGGACATTCTGTAGATACAACTGCTTTGACTCTTTCTCCAGACGGCTAGGTAAGCCAGGATACATGGAAGAGCCGCCAGAAAGCACCACATGCTTGTAGAGCTCAGAGCGCATATCGATAGGTGCAGCCTGCACTGTGTTGATAAGAAGCTCTGCAACGCCTGGAGACTCGACATCGATAAGCTCGGGCTGGAACAGGCATTCGGGGGCCTGGAAGCGCTCAGAGCCAACCTTGATGACGCGGCCATCCGGCAGAGTGTAGCTCTCCACAAGAGTAGTAGTCTCGGTGGCCAGTTTTTTGTCCAGATCAAGGTCGTAGCTAACATAGCACACTTTCTCCTTGATCTGGCGAACGGTTTCAAAGTCTGCTGTGCGATTGAATGCATAGCCGCGCAGCTGCAGAAGCTTGATCAGATACCGTGTGACATGGCGGCCAGCAACATCGAGTCTTTTGGTCAAGTGCGGAAGCGAGTAGCCTTGGTAGACAGGGATAATGTGGGTGACGCCATCGCCCGAGTCAATAACCACACCGGTCAATAGCCCTTGTGCATACAGAGTTAGAACAGCCTGGATAGCGACGTAAACCCCCTGGAAGCCGTAGCGTTCAAACATTACCTCGCACATCTTTTCTCTGTTGGCCTTTGGGTTCAAGGGTGCCTCGGTCAACAGCACCTTGCACTGCGACGGGTCTACCTTGAGCTTCTCATAAAAGGTATAGTCCCAGACATGCTGCATATCCTCCCAGTTCTTGACAATGCCGTTTTCCAGGGGGTAGGACATGTCAAGAATCGCACGCAGAGCCGCTGCCTCGTCACCAACGTTGATGTCCTTGATCTCGTAGGGCACGTCGGCGACAGTGGTGGCTTCCTCGGCACGGAGCATGGGCCGGCCAACAACAGATGGAAACACATGCTCAGGGAAATTAGAGCCAGCATAGCCGACCTTGGCAAACCCAGTGCCGTTGTCGACTACAAGCACATTGTTGTTTGCCATTTTTAAAATAATAGAAAAGTCTGTTGTTACGAAATTGACACCGCTGTTTTAAATATAAAGAAGGATGAATGACCACAGATGATGAATTAGAATAAAAAGAATGAAAACAAAATGTAGATAACGAAAAAAGGCACTAAATTGCAGCTTTTGTGCTTTGTGGAATTGCTGCTGTGTTGCAAAAATAAATGC